AATCATTATCATCTACTAAAAGATTGATATAATTTTACCTCGGAAAAAAGCCCATTGTCTCAAAACCATCAAGCTTACATGAAGTGTCTTCTTGTCGTGGGGAATAAGATGTCGCAAACTCCAAAAAAGATGGATAGTAAAACAGCGAGAGACCAGGAGCACGAATATCAGGAAAAACCCCGCACGCCTTATAGAGATGATGCGAGAGTCTTGTGATAAGTTCATTCGTTGCGATGGAGGACAAGTCCCGTCCCGAGGTTGAGAACCTTTCAAAAATACACCCCAAGGATTGAAGTGCTTTCTTCACAACCACCTCATAGTTATTATGACTAAGGAGATCAGAAAGGGAATCCATCCACTCTGGCATATGCTTATCTCCAGGCTCGCAACGGCGGCACAGTTCATGTATGATATTCATACTTGACTGAATTACATCTGCATGGACCTCTTCCGAGTGCCAACGAACAAATCGAAGGACACTTGACAGCACTCCACCAAAGTAGGGCTTTCCAGCCTCCACGCTTGTTATAAAATCTAGTAGCTAAAGAAAAATAGCATTAGCTTTCGTACTCATTAAGCCACCACTACTGTAAAAAAGTCAAATAAAGTTTCCCAGAACCGAGAATAAACTACTCTAATTGGTAGGAAAACTTATTTTCTTAATAGTAACAAATGATGCAGATGTTCTTCGGGGAAAAGTTAAATGTCACAGCACAGCGAACTAATTTTATTTGCCTTAAGCACTGCAGCTACAAATGGATCAATCGATGATCAAAGTAAATACAAGCATAGGGGAAATACCAAGTACTAAAGGTATTGGTTGAACCCCAATAAAAATGATGGGCCATGTCTTAGTTTCAAAAATAGATAAATAACAAAAGAACAAAGAACTCTTATCTACTCTACTAAACACCAGGCATGTAGACGAAAGTAATCAAAAAAACACTCTTCAAGCAGTATTGACCTTAATAATTCGTTGTGCTAATTCACTGCCGGAAGACGATGACAAATCTGCTATGTCAAGACGCATGCACAAAATTTTATAATGCTTGATTTTGATATTTCGCAGGGCTGGTGCATCGAGCATCTCCAAAAGATAGAGTAGTGTTCGAGCATTCAATTCTAACACATCATCTGGGGCATTATCCTCGGAAAACAAGAGCAGCAAAGCATTGATTATCGCAGTAGTGTCAAGCTTATTAACGAATCCTCTGTCGTCGGTGAAGAGAAGTGCATTGCAAAGATACTCCAAAGAAGTTATTTGCAGTTCTTTATCCCCACTCAGAAGCCAACTAATAAGAGAGGGCACGTCAACGTCCATCACTCAGCACGCTACCTATAAGGCCACAAAAAAGCAACATTATCCTCCTTCGATCCGCATGTTAAATGCTACAAAACCCAACCCTACCAAACGACCTAAAGGTCGATGGAGAAGCCGGCGACGTAGACGCTTAAATAGAAATCGCACAGTGCAATGCATTCAAACAAAATCCCATCAAATTAAACTATCTGCAAAGACCATAAACGTAAAAATCTTCCTACCCATGTTGGTTTTAAAAACAAAATATTTTCAGATTGGCTTTAAAAGTAATAGGATTACACTCGTAGCATTTGGCAACAAAGTTTAGGGGAACCCTTCTACTATGCTGACCGCATGGCACTGCGTTATTCGAAGTTATTTATAGTGCTCTGTTCTCTCTGTACTGATTCTTTCCTCATTCTTCTGGTTTCTTAACTACATTTTCATGCTTGAAGGATTGTTCTAAAGTCGATTAGGCTTCTTTTCATGGTAGGGCTAATGGGAATGCGAAGAAAGGAGGGAAGAAATTCTTGCACCCTTCCCACCATGCCTTGTTTATGTGACTGCTTGGTATCTGGTGGCTTCTATGACATTCCTTTCGCATTAGGACATGTGAGCTGGTCTCCGATCCAAGCTATGTCCATTCCCTTCTTACTCAATTGAAATGCACGTTTTTGGTCGAATTCACTGCCTTATACTACTTGTTAAAAAGTATAGGAACGCTACACTTCAAGTTAATGCTAATTTAAAAAAGCAGTTATTTTTGTACTACCTCCCAGTTCATGCGTATATTATTTGCCTATAGCACGTTTTGAGCCTAAAAGTGCTAGGCGTGCCTTTCACTGTTCTTTTATTTTGTTACAGCATTGTCACGTCTATATATGAGATTCTGATAAATCAGGCCCCATCTGCTGACCGAAACGTGGTGTATTTTTTTGTGCATTCGACTGACTATTTAAGTATCAGTCGCGTCAGCGGACATCTTCCTTTCAGTGAGTCGGTTTGGCTTCGGTCCCATCTCCACCCTTTCTCATTTAGCACAAGTAGTCATCATGGCCTTATTGTACAGGCTATACCTTGTTATGTCCAAAGGCACTATTCAATGTACCTGCAATACTTTGTTTCTACGGTCACCGGATATCTGTCGGAGCCGGTCTTTAGTTCAAGTCAAAGCTCAATCCTTCCTTAGTCCTCCAAGTAAACACGTATTCAGTTCAGTTTATTGCCTTCTTCTACCCATCGTAAAGTTTCGGGACGCCTCAATATCCTGCCTATTTCTTCATCCCCCACACCATCCAAATGGGAATCAAGGCTTGATTATAATGTGACCTCTTGTCAATGTCACTCAGTTCTGATCAAACAATGTCTGTGGTAGTTTTTAGTAAGTTTCTGTGCTGTCAACCCACATTAATTTTCCTAATGAAAAGAAATGCATGCAACAAACTACGTACTCACTGATGGACGAGACAGGGGTAGTCAAATCCTGAAGAGACCATTTAGCGTAATAAAACGTGGCTTTTTGTATAAGTTTTACCTTAAGACTAAATCGCAACCACATAGGCAAGTAAAGGCCTGCGATACATCGTTTAGTTTTTGATCCACCCTTTGTTGGGTAGAGGCAACTAGGCAATCCAAATGCTGTGCTATCGAAGCGCGATGACCTCTTCCCCCGTGGCTATGCAATGTAAATGCGCTTCAAGTAATACTCCTCCCATGAGGGCTGAGGTAGATGATAGGGAGTGTTAAGGGGCAGGAATAATTACAATACCAGACACATCAGCGCATATAACACTGACTCTGCGTTTTAAATAACTCGTGCAGGTGAATGGCGGGAAATTTTTCCTATCACGAT